CTACTCAGGAGGCTGAGGCAGGAGAATTGCCTGAACCCAGGAGGCGGAGGTTGCGGTGAGCCGAGATCGCGCCATTGCACTCCAGCCTGAGTAATAAGAGCGAAACTCCGTCTCAAAAAAAAAAAAAACCTGTTACACGAACATTAATGTGTCTGGAGAAGTGGAAACTAAGGTCCAAGAAATTTTCAAACAAGCCAGTGGCTACACATGCTCTCCCAAAGTAACCAAGACTGGGCCAAAACCTCTACTGATTCATTTCCAAAAATCACTTGGCTTCTCCCATTCCTTGGACCTTTACTCCTTGTCATTCTTCTTTTGATATTTGGTCCCTGCCTTTTTAATGCTCTCATTAAGTTTATATGTTCCAGATTACAACAGTTTCACCCACAGATGACTATGCAGTCCCAATACCGGCCTCCTGATGGAATCTGGTCTTCCCCACTCCCTCGCGAATGAGTTTTTCATGACCCTTAATTCCCTTCATGACAGAGAGCAAAAAAGGGAAAAACACAACCTACACCTTCAATGCCCCCTTCCAGTAGGGGTTAGCCAGATGGACTCAATGCCCCTTTTCACTGTGGCATTTTCCCTTTCTTGAGACCTGAGTAGGCAGCAGGTAGACATGAGCATGGGGGAATACAAAGAGTCAACGATTTGACCAAAATATTTGTGAGGGGAAAAAAAGAAGAGAGCAAAAATCACCTGGTGAGCACGTAGCAGGCCCCAGAGTCCAGAAACTCCTTATCTGAGGAATTTAGAAGTAAAGTGGAAGAAACAAAGACCATCCAATGAGTATCAAACAGTCCATTTGGAGGCAAACTCGTTTTCTAGGAAATTTAAAAGTAATTAAACTTCCCTAGTACCTAAAGTTGTTATCTGGTTCCAGGTCCCTTTCAAAAGAAAAAGTTGTAAGTAAATAGAAATTCTATACATCTCCAGAATGCCATGTCAAAACTCATTGTGTAACCCTTGCTGACAATAGGGCACCAAAATGTCGACACATGTAATCATTTATCATGACCCACGTGGCTAATATGGTCCAATTGCCTTTAAGCGCCCACCTTAAGTCCATAAATGCTCCTAAGGAAAACCCACCGTGGTGTGCGCAGTCCTCTCTTGCTGAGGTGCCCCACTGCGCTCTTCTGCAGTGTTCTTTCTTTGTAATAAAACTTTTCTTTTTCAAACCTATGCTGCTGTCGGTAAATTCTTCTTAACCCGCAAGTCAACCACTTCCTGATGCAGGGGCTCCGATACCTCACTCAGCACAAATCTTCTGTATATATAAAAAAAAAAAAAGTTAGAGGAAGTTCTCTAAACAGAAATGAAACAATAATAGATGAACCTCTGGAGCATGAGGAAGGAAGAGCCCAGTAAGTAAAGATACGGATGAATACAATGGGCCCTCCTTCTCTTGAGATTCTAAATTGTGTTTGACAGTTAAAGCAAAACTTACAACACTGCCTAATATAGCTCTAAATGTACGTAGAGGAAATATATAAAACAATTTCAAACAAAGGGAGACAAAGGAACATAAAAGGAAGTGAGCTTCTGTACCTCACTTGAAGTGGCACAACAAGGATACCAGTAGACTGTGATACATTTGATACGTGTAGATATGTATATAATAAATTACCTACGGCAGCCACTAAAAAAAAATCATACAGAGATACACTTGAAAACATTGTGAATAAATCAAAATTGAATTCTTAATAGAATGTCCAAGAAACCCACAGTGAGACAGGAAAAAGAAAAAAAAGCAAAGAACATAAATTGATATAGCGGATTTTAAAACCTGATACAACTATATGTAGTCTATAAGAAACTAATTTCAAATATAATGACATAGGCACATTGACTATAAAATGATGAAAAAAGAGAAATCATGCAATCATTAATGAAAGGAAGGGAGTGGCTAAATTAGCATGAGATAAAATAGACTTCAGAGCACTGAAAATGACAGAGACACAGTGGATATTATACAATAATAAAAGTACCGGGAAGCAGGCTGAGAATGAAGAGTGAGATCTACCATGCATTGTCTCAGAAAGAGGCAAAAGACTCCGATGTCCAGCATCTACAGGTGCAAAGCTGAGGCAGACAGACTTTCTGCCAGCATACGTCTTCAGGAGCACAGCAGGCCTTCCTGAAGCACAGCACGCCTTGCATGAGCCTGCAGGCCAGCGAGGACCAGCTGCAGCGCAAGGCCGAGGTCCTGGATCACTTCACCCGCCACAGGTGCAAGAAGAAGAAGAAGAAAGCCAAAGCCCTCTCTGCCAAGCAAAGGTGGGAGCTGCGGCTCTTTGACATTAAATCAGAGCAACAGAGATACGATCTTTTTCTCCCTCTCCACGAACTCTGGAAACAGTATGTCAGGGACCTGTGTAATGGGCTTAAGCCAAACACACAGCCACAGATAATTCAGGCCAAGCTGTTAAAGGCAGATCTTCACGGGGCTGTTATTTCAGTGACAAAATCCAAATGCCCCTCTTATGTGGGTATTACAGAATCCTTCTACAAGAAACAAAACATATTTTCAAAATTATCACCAAAGAAGACCGCCTGAAAGTTATCCCCAAGTTAAACTGTGTGTTCACTGCAGAAATTGATGGCTTTATTTCCTACATTTATGGGAGCAAATTCCAGCTTTGGTCAAGTGAATGGTCTGCAAAGAAGTTCAAAGCGAAGGCAACGATTGACATGTGAATGCCTTGCCATCTAAGGCAGTTGTCTATGACAGCTGAAAACTGAAACTCCCTCAATGCCCACCTTTCAGTGAAGAGATGGCTAAGCCAATTCCGGTTATAGACCACCTCCAGCCAATGGAGTTCCGGGTTGAAGATGTTGAGGAATATGGGAAGGTCGCAGTGTACTGAGTGAAGAAGTCAGGGGACGGAGGAATTTCTCTTTCTAGGAGATCTTAATTGCGTATGACTCCCATAGGGAGGAACAGACTGACAGGAAACATACCAGGGTTAACACTGGTTGACTTCAATTTAAAAATTCTTTTTCATGAAAAATAATAATAATAAAAGTACCAATCTATCAAGACGATCTAACAATCCTAAATGTATGTGCACTGAACAGCAAAGTCATAAAAGGTGTGAAGACACCGGCAGAACTGAAAAGAGAAATAGACAAATCCACAATTATAGTTGGAAGCTTCAATAACCCTCTCTCAACAATTGATAGAACTAGACAAAAAATTAGCAAGAATACATAAGAACTCAATAACACTATCAACCAATAGACTTTAATATTTATAGACCCCTTCACACAACGGCAGAATACACCTTCTTTTCAAGTGCCCATAGAATGTTCACCAACACAGACCACATCCTGAGCTGTAAAACAAACCGCAACACATTTAAAGAATTAGAATAATATAGAGTATCTTCCCCAACCACAATTGAATCAATCTTGAAGTCAGTAGCATAAAGATAACAGGGGGGTGGGCATGGTGGCTCATGTCTGTAATTCCAGCACTTTGGGAGGCCAAGGTGAGTGCATCACTTGAACTCAGGAATTCAACAACAGCCTGGGCAACATGGCAAGACCCCATCTCTACCAAAAATACAAAAATTACCCAGGTAAGCTTGTGTACATCTGTAGTCCCAGCTACTCAGGAAGCCAAGGTGAGAGGATCACTTGAGCCCAGGAGGTCAAGGCTGCGGTTGTCTGTAATTCCACCACTAAACTGGGTAACAGAGTGAGAGGCTGTCTCATTTTAAAAAATAAATAAATAAAAATGATAACAGGGAAATCACCAAACATTTGGAAATTAATAACATGCTTCTAAAAATAAACCATCGGTCAAAGAGGAAGTTTCTAGGGAAATTTTAAAAATACATTATAATTGAATGAAAATGAAGACATACCACATCAAGATTTGTGGGCGGCTGCTAAATTACACTGGGAGGAACATTTTTTTTTTCTTTTTTTTTGAGACGGAGTTTCACTCTTGTTACCCAGGCTGGAGTGCAATGGCGCGATCTTGGCTCACCGCAACCTCCGCCTCCTGGGTTCAGGCAATTCTCCTGCCTCAGCCTCCCAAGTAGCCGGGACTACAGGCACGCGCCACCATGCCCAGCTAATTTTTTGTATTTTTAGTAGAGACTGGGTTTCACCATGTTGACCAGGATGGTCTCAATCTCTTGACCTCGTGATCCACCTGCCTCGGCCTCCCAAAGTGCTGGGATTACAGGCGTGAGCCACCACGCCCAGCGGGGAGGAACATTTATAGCACTAACGTATATACTACAAAAGAGGAAAAATATTCAACTAATAATCTAAGCATCCACCTCACAAACCTAGAAAAAGCAGTGCAAAATAAACTCCAAACAAGTAAAACAATGACATAACGAAGATAAGAGCAGAAATTCATGAAACTGAAAACAGAAAAAAATAGGAAAAGCATCAATATAACAAAGAGCGGCTTCTTTGAAAACATCAATAAAATTGACAAACTTCCATCTGGCAAGACTGGCAAAAAAGAGAAAGAAATCACAAATTAACAGTATCAGGAATGAAATAAAGATGTCACTACATAGTCTACAGTTATCAAAAGGACAATAAGAGAATATTACAAAACAAGTCTACACAAATTTTACAATATAAGAGAAATTGACCAACTCCTTGAAAAACAAAAACTTTACAACTCACCCATTTTGAAATAGATCACTTGAATAGTCCCATAACTGTTAAGAAAATTGAATTTTCAATTTTAAAACACCAAAACAAAATAAATTTCGAGGCCCAGGGAGTTTCACTGGAGAAATCCAGCAAATATTTGAAGAAGAATTAACACCAATGTGACACAATCTCTTCCAGAAAATAGAAAAGGAGGTAACACTTGCTAGTTCATTTTATGAAATTAGTATAACCCTGATACCCAAACCAGAGAAAGACAGTATAAAAAAGGAAGCTACAGACCAACATCCATCATAAATATAGGTGTAGTAATCCTTAACAAAATATTTTCAAGTAGAATCCAGCAATATATAAGAAGAATTGTATATCATGACCAAGTGATGATTATTCCAGGGATACAAGGCTGGTTCAATATTTGAGAAATCAATGTGATCCACCATAATGACAAGTAAAAGAAGAAAAATCACGTGATCATATTAGCTGATGCAATTTGATAAAATTCAACACCCATTTATGAAAAAAAAACACTCAGAGAAAATAGGAATAGAAAAGGACTTCTTTAACATAAAAACACAGCTGACATTATATTTAGTGGTTAAAGACTCTGCATCTACTTCCTAAGATTAGGAACAAAGTAAGGATGTCCACCCTTACCACTGTTATTCAAATTAGTATTGGAGATTCTAGGCAGTGCGATAAGTCAAGAAAAGAAAAGGTATATATATGGGAAAGAAAGAAAGAAAGAAAACTGTCCCCATTTGCAGATGATATTATTATCTATGTAGAAAATTCCAAGGAATCTACAACATATCTCCAGAAACTAATAAGTTCAGCAAGATTGCAGGATACAAACTTACATGCAAAAATTAATAGTGTTTCTATATACTAGCAATCCACATCTGGACACTAAATTTTAAAATATAATGCCATTTACATTTCCTTTAAAAAAATTGAAATAGGTGAAAATCTAACAAAATGTGTTCAGGGATTTTATGCTGAAAACTATAGAAATCTGATGAAAGTAATCAAACAAGATATAAATAAATAGAGAGACATACCATGTTCATGAACTGGATGACTCAACATGGTAAAGATATCCATTCTCCCCATATATATACAGAAGTTTAACTTGATTCCTATAAAAATCTAAACAAAAGTGTTTGTAGATATCAGTAAGAGTATTCTAAAATTTGTATGGAAAGGCAAAGGAACTAGAATACCCAAGAAAATCTTAAAAAACAAAGCTGGAAGTCTTATACCCCTAGACATCAAGATGTACTTAAAGCTACAGTAACATAGTATAGTGTTGGTGCAATGGTAGACAGAAAGTCCAGAGACAGGCCATATGTATGGATCATATATATGGACAGACATATATATGGATCCTTGAATTTTAGTAAAGATGGCACTGCAGAGATAGGGACAATGTTTTAAGTAATGGTACTGGGTCGAATGGATATTTATATGGAAAAAAATATAAATCTTGACCCCTATCTTACACCAAACACAAAAATCCATTCCATATTGATTGTAGATCTAAATGTGAACTGCAAAACAGTAAATCTTTAGAAAATAATAAAGGAAAATTATCTTCATAACTTTGTGTAGGCAAAGATCTCTTAAGACACAAAACCCACTAACCATTAAGGTAGGACAAGATTGATAAATTGGTTTACGTTAAAATTAGAAATTCTCTTTATCAAAAACTGCATTTAGATATAGACAAGCAAGACACAAAGGAGAGAATATGTTTGCAACACTTATAACTAAAGATTTCTCTGATCATTAATTTCCCCATGTGTAGGATGATGTGAGGTAATAGATCTAAGAGGTTGGGACAGTGCCTGGCACATAGGAAGTGTTCCATAAAGTTTATATTGCTTCTGTTAAAACCGAGTCATCCAGGCCAAGGAATGTAGCACAAATCACTCCCAAGATGACAGATCTCTCTCCTGTTTTTGACACTCCACAAAGAAAGAAATCAAAGGGGTTTCCTCAGCTCTTCTTTTGCACTCATGTTGAAGACATTTCCTGAGGAACCCTTTCATCTCTCACAGCTGCAATCCCTATGCAGACTGCCATGTTGGATTGTAAATAACATAGTTGAAACAGTACAAGGCTCCAGTGGGGAGGATGAGAGTGGGCTTTCATTTCAGCTGAGTCAGCTCACGCGGTGGGAAATGCCCCAGGGGTGCTGAAAGCAGGAGGGAGGAGTGGCTTGTCACCGGGAAGAAAGCCTCTCTTCTCCCAAATGCAATATCATCTATCTTCACAGCCACCAGGATGCCCAGAAGTATGGAAGAGGGGGGTTTCAGGATGATTTCAAAAGAGTCACCTCGTTCCTGCAAAGACCGGCCCAGAAAAAGCCAGAGCTTAAGACAGGGAACATCCTGACCTGCAGAAAGATGGGTGGGCACTTGGAATAGGCCAAGACCAGAGGCCAGCCTTCAGGGGGCCACCACAGTGCTATGAATCCCCACCCCTTAGCTGGGAGGGGCCGATCTGGGAAAGGCCCACTCCATCATTCTGAGGGACAGCACTCGGCGCTGTCTGCAAGCCTTCCCATAGTTTATGCAGCCTGCCTACACCCCTCCTGGCATCTGATCAAGTTACAGCCCTGTAGGCCAAGGACTATCCTTTCCCCCATTTTACAGGTTCCCAAGTTGAGCCTCAGAGAAATAAAGTGAACTACCCAAGATAGTTCTCAGACGAAGGATTCATCCCACTACCTCCATCAAGTTACCCATAATAATGATTGCTATTATCCTTTTTGAGCATTTCTTGTGTGCCAGACATATGACTAAGGGCTTTACCTCCATTATCTTGTCTTCAGAACAACCTCAGAAGTAGGTGAGGATATCCCATTTTACAGACCCAGAGACAGCAATGATAGTAAGAAATTATATTTGGGGGCAGACACTGTTTGAAACACTTTAATGTGTATTGACTCACTTAATGTTCTCAAACATCCTGTGAGAGTAAGTGCAGCATCATCTCCATTTTAGAGATACGGGAGCTAAGGCTCAGAGAGGGCAGGTGCATTGTCTGAGGCCACACAACTAGGAAGTAGCAGAACGGGGACTTGAAGCAAGGATTCTTACCACTATTTTTGCATCTGTGGCAGTCCAGGTGACTTACTCAAGGTAATGTGTCTATGGGATATTGGAATCTGATTAGAACACCCGTCCAAATGAAAGCCCAGAATCTTCCCACCCAGCTATCATGCAGAGAGGGGCTGGAGGGACCCTTCTCTCCTTCTAGGATCCAGCCCCCTGAGAATGAGTTCCCTGGACCAGAATGCATGGAAGCCCTGTGGTGGGGGCAGGCCAGGTGGGACTGA